AAAATAATAATAATAATAATAAATAATAAAATAATAATAAAAATAATAATAAATAATAATAAATAATAAAATAATAATAAAAATAATAATAAATAATAATAATTAATTATTTAAGCCAATAATTAAAAATAATTAAAATAATAATAAAATAATAAAAGCCAATAATTAAAAATAATTAAAATAATAATAAAATAATAAAAGCCAATAATTAAAATAATAATTAAAAGCCAAAAATTGGCTTTTAAATAATTAAAAGCCAAAAACCATATTATCTCACATTCTCGCTTGTCGAGGAGGGAAAAAGCAATACCCGAATCACCTTTTTAAAACAAGCCAACGCATCTTGTGTAAACTAATGTACGAAGAGGTTAAAGAAAGTCTTTACATTAATCTTCCACAATAAATGATTAATTTTCTCCAAAGAGCATATTACTTCCATGAACAATAATGTGCTTCAAAGCCTAAATTGTTATGGCTATCAAAAAATAATTTAATATTATAAAGATTTAGCCGCAAGAATAATCATTCTGCAAACTATACTTATGTTCGACGCTTTGTCAAAAAAATGATACCATTACTACATGAAAAGTATGGAATGAAAAAAATACGCTAATGTGTATAACAATATTAAACATTTTTCTTTAACATACGATTACGCAACGTTATTCTGCGACTACAAATTGAGCAATTGTAAGTAATCTCATACTTAATCGCATACATTACTGAATGCACATGGGTGGCGCTAGATGTAACTGCGCTTAGATTGAATACATCAATGTAGCTATCACGCGGTATTGTGTTGACTGAATTAATTGATGAAGCTTGATTCATGGGATTGATTGAGGTTGATACGTGTCATTACTGAAACACTTATTAGCATAAATGTGGGGTCCCTTGATAGAGAAAGGGAACAGCCAGATCTGCTACTTAACGTTAATACGTTAGTTTGTTCTGAACGTAATCGGATCGAGGGAAATTGCAAAATGTAAATTAGGATATAAATTCTCTCTAATCGATCCTCAGCTTGGAAACAAGAATGGACAATTTCAGAAGACGAGGTGCGATTATTCGAGCGGCTCTTTTGTTGACAATCGAAAACTATAAAAACGAGGCGCAAAGTTGTATTTCCTTTTCCCAAATCGTCCATTTTTGTGTACAAGCTGAAAGTCAATTAAGAAGAATTTACTGTATAATGAATAAACATGGTAATATAACACGGAAATATAAATGATAATTATATACGTACTATAAACGATAGAGTGTACACACCTATAAACGATATCAAAAAGAATTGTTATACACTCTGTCACACAAGAGATTTGATGTTTTAACCCTTTGCACTCGAGTGGTGATTTTGAAGCATCATTAAAATTGTTACATCTCGTTTCAAGATAACTTTTATATTACAAAAGTTTAAATGTAGAAAATTGTTAAACGTCTAATTGTTGCATGAGTCACAAGACTAAATTTCATGCGCATAAAACGCACTTTGTCATATAAAATGGGAATACCATAAGTCGGAAAAGATACTTTAGATTTACAGTTAAAATGGCTTCGGGTGCAAAGGGTTAAGCTTTCTACTACAAATTTTTCGAATAGGTTTTTGTATGTATACGCATTATCGAAGACTTCATGGCAACCTGTAAGAGAATATGAAACGCTATTCGAATAACAGTCTCTAAAAATTGATGGCATTATTTCAAATAATATTGTATTTTTGGTTTATGGAAAATTAGATGTATTCGATAAAATATGTCCATGTTATTGGCTACACTAAACATGTTGGTGTTCTGTGTTTGAACTTTAATTTCGTTTTCTACTATTTCCCTACGAGCACCACCGTCCCCTGATATGAGAGTTGAAGCAGCATATCAAGTTTTATTTCCCTCGGTTCGTTCGTTCAGAAAATATCACTCAAGTTGGTCACATTCACACGGGCACACACAGGCGTCACCGTGTAAATGGTGAAATCGTGTTGATGCTCGGAACGTGCTTGTCACTCGAGAACTCAGAGTTGTGTTTTTACATCTTCTCTGTAATAAAAGTTACGCGCGGGAAATGGAAAGGTAAATACATGGACGAAAATAAAGAATGAAAATCATAAGATGCTAATAAAGGAAACTTCCGTTATGTTATTAAAATAGCGTTCTGCTGTGGGTTCATTTTATAACTATACACTAATAAAGTATAGAATTTGTGTGTGGAAAACGAATACTCTGTATTATTTCCAACAACTACAGAATAACTGATGATGATGTTAATAATACTAATAATACTTTATTAAGAATAACTATATTTATATCAGGAATCATTCCAATCGTAATCACCGAAATACTATTAATTGTATAATAGCATTATTCCATGATATTATTAATTGAATGCTCCAATTGCAATCAATAATTCTACTCCTTAATATTTGTTAATCAATCCTGATCATTCAATTCCAGCGATAAGTATGAATTATGATAGTGATATTATTAACTGAATGCTCTAATTACAATCAATAATTCTAATCCTTAATATTTGTTAAGCAATCCTAATCATTCAATTCCAGCGATAAGTATGAATTACGATAGTGATATTATTAACTGAATGCTCTAATTACAATCAATAATTCTAATCCTTAATATTTGTTAAGCAATCCTAATCATTCAATTCCAGCGATAAGTATGAATTACGATAGTGATATTATTAACTGAATGCTCTAATTACAATCAATAATTCTAATCCTTAATATTTGTTAAGCAATCCTAATCATTCAATTCCAGCGATAAGTATGAATTACGATAGTGATATTATTAACTGAATGCTCTAATTACAATCAATAATTCTAATCCTTAATATTTGTTAAGCAATCCTAATCATTCAATTCCAGCGATAAGTATGAATTACGATAGTGATATTATTAACTGAATGCTCTAATTACAATCAATAATTCTAATCCTTAATATTTGTTAAGCAATCCTAATCATTCAATTCCAGCGATAAGTATGAATTACGATAGTGATATTATTAACTGAATGCTCTAATTACAATCAATAATTCTAATCCTTAATATTTGTTAAGCAATCCTAATCATTCAATTCCAGCGATAAGTATGAATTACGATAGTGATATTATTAACTGAATGCTCTAATTACAATCAATAATTCTAATCCTTAATATTTGTTAAGCAATCCTAATCATTCAATTCCAGCGATAAGTATGAATTACGATAGTGATATTATTAACTGAATGCTCTAATTACAATCAATAATTCTAATCCTTAATATTTGTTAAGCAATCCTAATCATTCAATTCCAGCGATAAGTATGAATTACGATAGTGATATTATTAACTGAATGCTCTAATTACAATCAATAATTCTAATCCTTAATATTTGTTAAGCAATCCTAATCATTCAATTCCAGCGATAAGTATGAATTACGATAGTGATATTATTAACTGAATGCTCTAATTACANAAAAAAATTTCATCCTCGTTAAAAATTACCATTATCTTGTTTACGTTCTCCGTCAAACTGTATTTGCAACTAATACTCGTGGTTCGATTGCACGTAAAACTGAACTTACAGACATTTCCCGAACTGTTCATAAAAGATGCCAACACTTCGAGACAGTAACTTGCACGAAAAGAAGCAGTAAACCTTACCAAACCGAGAATAATAAAATAGAGAAATATTTCTGAACATTTAAATATCCCAAAATCATCGGACCGATACAAACCGCACAATATTCCATTTTGTAATTATCCAAATGAAACGATTGCCTTCTGTGCAATAACTAATTCATCCGACCGCGCATTCGTTACAATAACGACGCAATCTGACAGAACTCTCGCAATTTTACGAAAAAAATTCGGAACAACTCCGTTTAAGCTGTATTTTCAGGCGAACCTTGGAGAACGGGCGAACGCGAGTCGAGCGAAAAATACGGGGACGGTGTCGCCCAAATAATCGTAGACACTAACGCACGTTAAAATGCTAAAAGTTGCAAGCGAAGACAGCGGCCACGGTAGACCCACGTGAATTAAGAGTAGCGCATTTACCTGAAACAGGCACGGTGCTCGTTGTTTGCCAACCTGGTTACTCGCCCAGCACGCCACCGTGCCGTAGTCCATTTCCGTTGCGGGCGTATAGTTTAGCTTGGATCCGTGGAATTGTTGGTACTCTTTCAGGCTTTCGGCAACGGACGGTGTCCCGGGCGCTGGCACGTGAGAGTAACGAGAATGAGGAACCTCCACCAGCTCCCCGGAATTATTGAATGTCCAGTGGAAAGTCAACGGTGGTGGATGACTCTCCACGGAACACACCAACGATACGGTTTCCTGCTTCAGGGCGCCGACCACCACTTCGCTTCTACCTTCCTTGCAGACCGGGGTATCTGCAATCATCGTATCCCATGATATCAGAATTTTTCAGCTCTTGAAACCACCGGGCGGTCGCAGCGACTCGATTTTCTTTTATTAGATAAATTACAGGAACACGTTTATTGAGATTGGCGAAGATCCTTTCATTTTCTTTTTAGCACGACGATAATATCTCGTGTACAGAAATAACTATAAGGGTATACTGGAAGATGACTTTAGGACAGACAGTTTCAAGGTTAAGTCTTCAAATTTTACATCTAGTAAAAATACTCTTCACAGGCATTTTACTATCATGTGAGAATATATTTATATTTTGTTTTATAATTGCAGGTCTACTATTCCTCGTTTGTGGTGGCGTGCAGTGAAATTTGTCTGGCCATAACCAGCTTCTTCTACTTAGAGTGGTTACCGAAGATCATATTCAGAGTAGCACTATCGAACGAAAGGTAGGTTCGGTGACTATGCCCGGTAAATAAACTACTGAAATTAGAACTAAAGACAAGACTACAAATAAATATATTTTTCCGTAATTTCAACACGTTCTATCAATATTTTACTTATTATATTTTACTGAATATCGATCTTCATTCGTTCAGTATCTTCTTAAGCTTTTTTATAAGCTTCGCAGAAAGTTTCGCGAATTCGGAGTATCAAAAACATTGAAATATACGTGGTATTTCAAGAACTTCCGTTTTCGCGTATCTATTAATTTTAACGAGTAAGTACCGAATTGCATTTAAACAAAAAGAAAATGTAATACATCTTATTCGAGGAATACAACGTTAATAATTTATTTAAGAGACAGCAGATTCAAATGTCACGGTAAAGTGGCCAGCATTGGAAAATATTTCATTTCATTAGAATCGGGCATCTGCGGCACAACATTTACATGGCACGCATTAGCCATTCCACACGGCGGAATGAAATTTTCGACCCGACACCGAAATTAGTTCCGTAAACGGAAGCGGCGGCGCGGGAATCACGATTTCTGTGGAAAGTGAACCGGGGTTGAGGGTGTGCCACAGAAATTGGCTTAATGCGATCCGGCGTCGTAAAACGGAAGAAGAAGGTTGACACCGTTCAACGCGCGGGGTACGTTCTATCGATCGTCTAATAGGAAATTCTCATGACAGCGGTATTTGCAGTAGGCCATGCCATACGGAAATTCCAAATGGCACGAGGGATGATTTACGGCGGAAGCAAGGGATCACGGAACAGCTCCGCTTCAATCTGATGCGTTTGATGCACTACCGAATTAATTAGTAATACGAGAAGTCAGCGATACCGGGGACTCGTGTCGGCAGACATCGACGTATCGCCCAGGACCGAGCTCGTCGATCGGAAAATGCAGTACATTGTCGGAACACTCATTGGTACGCGGTACGGGACGTTGAACGCCAGCATGGGACTGTCCGAAAGTGTCGCTTGGCGATTTTCACCCCGATGTCAATCGCCGAAATTTTCTACAAATGGCCAATTAAATTCGCACCGGAATCGTTTGATTTGTAGTTTCGTGTAACTCGGGTAACTTCTTGAAATTTAACTGTTTCTTTCTCGCTCGCACTCATCATTGTCCTATTCTCACGCGGTATAGTTAAACAAGTAGATCAGTTTTTACTGTTACCATTACTATTATTGCGTATTTACGCGCTTCAAAAAAATCATTACGCAAAGCGTAATTTTGGACGTAAATGACAAAATAAAATGACAAATATATGAACGATACGCATTAAATACGTTTTGCAGATCTTCATAACTTATGTGCATGCTGAAAATATCATCGAAATCGTTTGACGTTGTTAAAAGTTACAAGCAATTATAGATCGCGGACCTTGACATACCTTGACATAACCAATGTTTAATAGTTAATAAATATTTGTTTCGTTAAATTTTTCTTAATTTCATCGTAAATGTTAAACGTTAACTCATTTCTGTCGGGAAGTGGTAAAAACAGAATTGAATGCGAAAAATGGAAAGCCTAATTTGTTCGATAAATAAAATCAGTGCTAGTAGAGAGGATATTTGAATTGTAATGTTAAGACTCTATACTCAATGAATCAATGTATCTAACACATATCAACAATGTCTCGTTGAATATTCACCCGTTCCTGGTTAATTTTTAATCTGCTTAAGCCATACGTTTTATAATCTGCAGCACGAAGATGCACGGTATAACCGAAGTTTAGATTGTCGGTTTCGTTACGCTTTAAATATTTGCATGTGCCACAAATGCGTGCAATCTACAATTCAAAATTAAATTTACTACGTCCATGTATTATTCATAATGCGCAGTTTATTCATTGAAAATACACGTCGCAATGCTGTCATATTATTTAACACGATCAGTTGTTCTCGCATCAACTGCTGAAATAACACCTCATAAATTGATAAAGCAATAAAATTTCGCAATTCTCATACGACTCCAACCGTCAATTTTATTATTAAAGTAATTACATTTTTATATTCGCGTGCCAGTGGTTGCAGGCCCATTGAATATCGCAGCTGATCAAAATATTGTTGAATTCGATCGAATATTTAATCTTGTTGCATCACATCTCAGAGGATCGTAAAAATAGTAAATGAATTAAAATGTAATTACTGATTTCTGAAGTTCGAGTCGCATTACTGTGAGAATCTTTCCTCGACTAAGAGCATAAATAATTGTTCAGGTGTCGGATGACGGGGGAGCAATCTTTGGAAGTCTTGAATGCCTCGGTGACTCGGCGAGGATCGGTGTCAGTGTAGCGCGAAGGATGCTGGAGTTAAAACATTAGGATGGTTTCGCGGTTCCCATTAGTTTAGCGCATCTCCGGCCTCCCCTCTCCCAGCTTAGCACATTGCCAGGCTGCGTTCACCTACACATGAATATTCAGCTACGCTTTACATACATTGAATATGCATCGGAGTCCTTCCTTCCCTCTTAGGTCATTTACAAGATGCAGATACGCCGGGCTACCACCAGGAGTACTAACCATTCTAATAGAATAACTCGTGCTGTATGTTTTACAGAAAACTATCCATCCTATCCTCGTCCTCGGGCTGCCCCTTCCAGCCCATTCCTGCTGATTCCACGGGCAAAGCGGCAAAGCACCCTTCATGTCCAATTCCCGGTACGCGCGCTCGGCTGCTACTTGCCATCGATTAAGTAATTATCGAGGTCTCGAGGTGAGAGCAGGCGAATTAGAGAATTGGCTCAGGAATATCAACCCAGGGCTGCAATTCTATTCGCGGCTCTTCCGTTGTACTTATGATTAACGAATGCCGGTATAAACGAGCGAACACGAACAAACTTTCACCTTCGTGATCCTCCTCGTCGCTGGTTATTTCGATTGGTTAAGAAAAAAAAGGAGAAGACGACACTTGATTTCTGAGTAGTGACAATCATTGGAAGGCTTGGATATAGTATTTAGTACAATAAGTTCTTCCCAATTGACGCTCGGATTGTGCACAAAAATTGACAATTTGGGAAGAGGAGATACGATTATTTGAGCCTTCCAGCTCGTTTTTATAGTTGCCGATTGTTAACAATTATAAAAATGATGTTCGAATAATGGCATCTTCTCTTCCCAAATCGTCCATTTTTGTGCATAATCTGAGCGATATATATTCAGATTCGATGGCATTGTTACACAGTCTGCATACTCACACATTATTCGAAGAGCCACAGGATTACTGTCCGTCTTCCCCTCACTGTTCGCAGCAAGACAAGTATAATCACCGGCGGAGTACCGGGTTATGCCCTGGAGAACCAAAGAGTAATCGCTTAGCACTATACCCGCGGTCGCATTATTCTTCAACTCTTTTCCCTGGAACAAACAATGCCACTTTACGATGCGAGTAGGTTTTTTCATCCACAGGTGGTGAATGTTTGACCTATCCCTCGAACAAGAAAATCACCCTAAGTGCCCTTTCAAATCATTTCGAGCCTTTTTAAAGCACACATTTCATAAAAATTGAAATTTTAGATACGCGTGGAAAACGGTAAATATTCTTTTATATATATATGTGTGCATTAGAGTACTTAAAAAAAATTGTAATGAAATGAATTTCTTTTCAATTTACCAAAATTAATTATTCAGAATGTATAATTCCGTTTCTATTTCATTTCTTTGAACTCTATGTAAACATACTTTTCTAAGGTCTCTGTTATATCGTTTATTTGTAGAAAGCTGAATTAGGCCGGCTAAAGAGACACATTAAGTGTTTGTAGAAATCGTCTATTTGTAGAAAACAGCAGAATCGAAAAAATACAATTTATGGAGGAAAATTTACGCAGGAAACTTACGTCCTTGAACCAGGCGAGTTTGTACGCTTTCGGATTAGCTCTGACCGAACAGTCGAAATATACGTCGTCGCCCTCTTTGATATCATCTGGATTCAATGTCTTGCCCATCTTGAGAGTCACCAGCGGCTGATACTGCACGTCCAGCCTCCACTTGTCCTCCAAAGCACTGTTCGGGAGGGCCGGGTTTTCGGCGCGACACGTCAGATACTTGCCATCGTCGTCGATACTTGGCACAAAGCTTAGGATGCTCAGATTGTTTTCCACGTACTGCCAATAACATACGACCTCGATATTAATTATCTCTCGATAAATGTTTCGCACGTTGACTGCGACGTAAGCAAATTTGTAGCGTCTTGTGTACAAGAATCATTTAAAATTTAGGTTATTCATAGCAGAGACGAATAGTACATATTATGGAAAGCAAAAGCAATATACCATATAAAATATAATTAAGAATTAAAAAATAATAAGATATAATTAAAAAAGGTGAGACATTACGTAAAAACTGAGATCTTATTTTCAGAAATTATTTTAGAAAAGCCAAAATAAAAGAAATTTATTTCACTGACTAAAACGTTCCTAATGGTAAAGACAAATTGGGAACGTCGTTGATATTTATTAATATTTAATAAACCATATCGAAATTCTTATTTTAATATGTATATAATTCAGAAAAATATGTAGTGTAGAGAATGATATGTTGTATGGCAATATTAAGATAATATTATATATTTAATTATCGTTTTTTTATCATTATTTTTTAATTCTTAA